TATATATATATATATATATATATATATATATATATATAGATTTAAAGAAAGACAGACCACTTTTAAGGCTCCATTTGTAACAATTTATTTCACCAAAGAATTTTATTTTTCTCTGGAGATGTCGATTGACATTACATTTGAATAGTTGGAGATTATAGCTCTCAGGGAAACTGGAATAGGGAAGGGAGTTACACAGGCGAGAGGTGCGAGACATGAAGCTATTGGAGTAGAAGAGACGGCTACATTTAGTAGCTTCGACAGTGAAAGGGTGAGAGCGGGATGCCAGCCGCGTGGGGCGCTTGAACTCATGAAGTTTGGGACCAGCGAATGCAGATCCTCAGAGCAATTGCCATGAAAGTATTTGTAAAAAAGACAGAGAGAAGCGACGGCGTCTGTGAGAGAGTGACTGTAGACGAGATGCCAGAACAGGGACAATTATATTGCATATCCGCCTCTGGAGCTTATCAAGAACCCCGAGGCAAACGGTAGGGGCTCCAGACCATATATGGCAGCAATACTCCATGCAAGGGCGAATTGTTAATTTCTAGATCTGGAGGATCGATTCCGGGGAGAAAAATTTCCTGGCGCGGCACAGGGGGCCAACTTTCCTTGCGGTGAACGAAGCAATTAACTCAATGTATTTGTTCCATCTCAGGTCAGCAGTCAACGTGAGACCGAGCAGCCACAGAGAGGTGCTCTCGAGAAGTTGAGCGTCAGACATTCTAATGGAGGGCAGGGAAGAATCTCCGTGGTGATTAATAGAGAGCAGTTTTGTTTTTGAGGCATTAAAGTTGACCAGCCAATTCCTGCCCTAGTTCACAACCGATTGGAGGTTCTTTTTTCGAGACGCACGCCCAGGTTGTGGTGATGAATGGTGTGAGAGACATGGTATATATATATATATATATATATATATATATATATATATATATATATATATATATATATATATATATATGGATTAATAATTTAGATGTGTATGTCTATTTTATTTTTTTAATCCTTCAAATCCACGAATTAATTTTTATTTTCTAAAGTACTTGCAATGTCATCTAAGGTCATATTCAGGGGGTGCATATCTATGGATGTGTTACGTGTTAACAACTTAAATTCGAAATAAAAGATTTTTTAATTGTAGTATTTTAATTTAGTATTTATGTAACAAACATTTCAGAACTTTGTTGCTATACTCATATTTGTCTGCAATTCTCTTATATAAAAGGCTTCCAGAATTTTTAGTGTTTGCCTTTTATTATCTTCATGAAGCGCTTCATGTATTTTCGACTACTATCTGTCTAAACTGTGAATGTAGACATGAGTGTTCCTTTAAATGTTCTGAGATTGAACTATGATCGTTCAGGTGAAACGTAACCCTTCTCGTCACCGTCCTTGTTGTAAAGCCAACATATTTATTAACATTTTTATAAGGGATGCAATCTTCCAAAGGACATTTAAATTGATATACGATGTTGGTCTTTTGCTAGTTGACGGGGAAGAGTTGTTTTGGACTACGAGGTTGGTTGTATCAAACTTAGTATAGTATATAAGTAATTTTATTTTATTACTTTGATCGGTGGGGATATGCGTTTGTTTTTTTATATATATATATATATATATATATATATATATATATATATATATATATATATATATATATATATATATATATATATATATATATATATATATATATATGCATTCTGTTGAGGTTTCTTCTAGGCTCGATGAATTAATTTTCTGAAATCCTCCTTAATTTCTATCATTTGTAAATCCTTGTTTGAACCAGCTTGTAATGCTCTGGATGGAGCGGCTTGGTGATGGTAGACGTGGCTCTTGGAGGTACAGTCCTATGAGTAAAGGAAACTTGGAGGAGTTCCATCACGGTATATGTGAACAAGCGGCGCAATATCCGTCTTAATGAAACACCCTATATTCATAACTACCTACTAGTCTAGTCCGCTACGACTTTGTCACCGAGGTCTGTTAGTACAGTTGGTATGACGTTTGCCTGTCAATGTAACTGTCCGGGTTTCAATTCTCGGCCGTTCAGTGTTTTCTGCATTCTGTTGAGGTTTCTTCCAGACTCGATGAATTTCTTAAAATATATATTATGAATTTATTTTAATTTTATAATAATAACGTTTTATTCAATTTATAATAAGCAAAAAATTTAAATTCTGGAAGCTGTTTAAATAACTGAATGGCGGCCCCCAAAAAATAAAATCAGTTACGAGTATAGTAACAAAGTTCTTAAATGTTTGCAGCAATAAAGTGTTATATAAAAATTTAAAATACTACAATTAAAAAGTCTTTTAAAAAAATCACATAAGTTGCCTCCGTTGCATAGAGGTAAAAAATATTTTTAATATATGGTGTTAAGTAATAACGCATTCATAGATATGTAAGCCCTTAAGATGATGGTCTCAGTTGAGAGAAAATTTTGGAATTTTCCTTAATCAATTATCTACAGACGCCAAGAAATTAATTCGTGGACTTGAAAGGATCAAAACTAAAATAAATAGACATAATACGTCTAAACTATTTGACCAAACATTCTGGAATAAAAATATACTACCTACCTACCTACCTATATATATATATATATATATATATATATATATATATATATATATATATATATATATATATATATCTTTCTGTATATATACATATATATATATTTCTGTTTATACGTTATTTTATAGATACTAATATTTAAGTAAAAGCTCTGTTTATAATAAACAGTATTAACAAAATTACTTATTATATATAATTATAATTATAATATTTTTTGTTTAAAAATATGATTCTTTCGCTACATAAGAGTTCTCATGTTTCAAAAACGAGAGCCGAAATATCCAAATAATTATTAAAATTAAGTTGGATTGTGGTGTTTAGTCCCGTTTCATCTTCAAGCGAAATTTTTAGGAATAAGCTATTTGTCGGTTTACGTGTATTTTTAGGCCCGGTCATTTTGGAATTCGTTGTTGTGGGAGTGGCTAGACTATTTTCCTTCGTTAAGTGGTCAGAGAGTTAATTCTTATCAATAGATTCATCATCTTCTAAGAGGTTTTGGTAAGGTTAGGTAGGGTATCTATTTCAAGGCTAATGTTTGCGGTCACCCTTTAGTTAGTTCCCAGTGAGGGATATTTTTATGGCGCGCCTACAAGTCGTTATGTGCCTGGAGAATTGTCTTTTATTATTGTCCATCTGATTATCTATTTATTTATTTGTTTATTCAAGTGGGTGTTTTATATACAAACCGTATTGCACTGAATTTCAATTTGTTTTTTGACGACTACAAAAAGGGTTTTTCCTATTTAATGATTTGGCTTTGCTTTTAAGAATTTTACTTAGCTATGGGATTTTTTTTTTTTTTGCAGACATCAACAAACTTTCGCATTAAATAGTTAGCATATAAATACTAAGGAACCCCGGGTTATGCACCTAACGTGTTCTTTTCTATTTTCTGCATACCTACGCACTTATACGTATATATATATATATATATATATATATATATATATATATATATATATATATATATGAATTATAACAACTTCAGGCTGGTTATATAATTTCTGAAGAAAGTACCATCTTAGTGCTGAAACATTTTATGTAACTTTTATTGTAATTTATTATATATATATATATATATATATATATATATATATATATAATGAATTATTATTGATGGTCGATAGATACATGAATATGAACAGGCAGAAAAACATGGAAGTTTTTGTGTAGCGATGTAAAATGCTTTTATTGTAATTTTTTTATGATATATATATATATATATATATATATATATATATATATATATATATATATATATATATAGATAATGAATTACTATTAATGGTCGATAGATATATGAATATGAACAGGCAGAGATAGATAGGTAGTTATGAATATAGGCTGTTTCATTAAGTCGGATTATATATAAGGGGGTGTTTCATTAAAATGGATCAAATCCGTAGTAAATAAATCAGTGATATTGGTAAAAATTTATTTATTTCTCTATTGGATCATGTTAAGTCATGACAATTATGTGTGAAAAATAATATCGCCCCAATGTCCGCCAACTCTGAAAGGAAAATAAAAAAAATAGACGCTAAAACTTAATTCACATTTAAAATCGGTCAAAGTCATTGGAACACCCTTTAGAATCAGGTAAAAAAAACGTTTATCAAAGTATTCACAGGTACAGCACAGGTAAGCTACATTAAGCCCGTGGTTATATGAGTGAAGACGAGTTGCCAAAGAAATTGCAGATTATTCTTTTGATTTTATCAACGATATCTAAATATATAGCAGAAGCATCAGACCAGATGTGGCAGCAATATTTAAAACATGGACGAAAATTGAGTCTTAAAAATATGTCGAGAAAATTGTCTAGTCTGATACAGTGAACAAACTTTCCTAGCAGCAGATCCGGCAGTTGATTCGATATAGGCTTCCCACTTCCTGTCAGCAGAAAAGGTTTTATTCTCAATTTATTTTATTTGCTTCTTTTTTACACCTTCGTTCCCGACTCTTTCTTCCCGCCGAAAACTCCATTTTGCTGTCATTTCTCTTCTGTCGTTCCTCTGTTTCCCGCCTTTTCTACACGCCCGCCATTTTTTGTTTTATTTATTTATCTATCTATTTTCAAATAAAAACCTTTCTTCTTACGAAGCAAAAATATTTCTGACCAAACAATCTTCTTTTTGGGCATTTGCTTTTTTTGTTTTTTATCTTCATCTACACCCAACCATTCTGGCCTTGAGCTGCCGTAAAATGTTGGTTTCTACAGACTGATTGACCCAACACAAAATATAATTTCCCCAAAAATACAAAAAAAAAAAAAGCCGACGTTTTCTCGTTACATTTCTCCTTATAACAAAAGCTTGGAGTGATTTCACTAATTACACTTTCCCAAGTTATTTGCGCCTTTTATATGGAAACTTTTTTGCTTCCATTTCAGACTAAAGTTCTTCGGACAGGAAGCTCGTGGAATGCGCGTGTATAAATAAAATCTGACATCGGAAAATCATTAAGTTGTAAGTTATCTATCTATCTATCTATCTATCTATCTATGCTACTTTCATTATTTATCTATCTATCTATGTTTGTTCATATCTATCTATCTATCTATCTATCTATCTATCTATCTATCTATCTAGTTAGCTAGCTATCTATCTATTTATCTATCTATGTCTGTTCATTTCTATCTATCTATCTAACTATCTATCTATCTATCTATCTATCTATGCTAATTTCATTATCTATCTATCTATCTATCTATGCTACTTTCATTATTTATCTATCTATCTATGTTTGTTCATATCTATCTATCTATCTATCTATCTAGTTAGCTATCTATCTATCTATTTATCTATCTATGTCTGTTCATTTCTATCTATCTATCTATCTATCTATCTATCTATCTATGCTAATTTCATTATCTATCTATCTAGCTATCTATCTATCTATCTATGCTACTTTCATTATTTATCTATCTATCTATGTCTGTTCATATCTATCTATTCATCTATCTATCATCTATCTATCTATCTATCTATCTATCTAGTTAGCTAGCTATCTATCTATTTATCTATCTATGTCTGTTCATTTCTATCATTCATCTAACTATTCATCTATCTATCTATCTATCCATGCTAATTTCTATTTATCTATCCATTCATCTATCTATGCTACTTTCATTATTTATATCTATCTATGTTTGTTCATATCTATATCTATTCATCCATCTATCTATCTAGTTAGCTATCTATCCATATTTATCTATCTATGTCTGTTCATTTCTATCTATCTATCCATTCATCTATTCATCTATTATCTATCTATCTATCTAGCTATCTATCTATCTATCTATGCTACTTTCATTATTTATCTATCTATCTATGTCTGTTCATATCTATCTATCTATCTATCTATCTATCTATCTATCTATCTATCTATCTATGCTACTTTCATTATTTATCTATCTATCTATGTCTGTTCATATCTATCTATCTATCTATCTATCTATCTATCTATCTATCTATCTATCTATGCCACTTCTTATTTATTTATCTATCTATCTATGTCTGTTCACATCTATCTATCTATTCATTCATTCATCTATCTATTCATATCTATCTATGCCAATTTCATTATCTATCTCTCTCTATCTATCTATGCTACTTTCATTATTTCATCTATCTATCTATGTCTGTCTGTCCATCTATCTATGCTACTTTCATTATCTATCTATGTCTGTTCATATCTATCTATCTATCTATCTATGCTAATTTCATTATCTATCTATCTATCTATCTATCTATGCTAATCTCATTATCTATCTATCTATCTATCTATCTATGCTACTTTCATTATTTATCTATCTATCTATGTCTGTTCATATCTATCTATCTATCTATCTATCTATTCATCTATCTATCTATCTATCTATCTATGCTAATTTCATTATCTATCTATCTATCTATCTATCTATCTATCTATCTATCTATGCTACTTTCATTATCTATCTATCTATCTATCTATCTATCTATCTATCTATCTATCTATCTATCTTAGTCCTTTCATATCTATCTATCTATCTATCTATCTATGCTACGCTACTTCCATTACCTCTCTATTTATCTATTTCAATCTGTGTCTAAATTAGATAGATATGAACAGACAGATATGAACAAACTGCGATAGACAGATATGAACTGACTGACATAGATAGATACATACATACATCTAAACATAGATAGATAGATATAAACAGACTAGCTTTGTTAGATAGATAGGTAGTCAGATAGATACGAACAGACTGAGAAAGATAGGTAGATAAATAGTTTACATTATTTACATTGTTCGGACTCTTGTTCTCATCTTTATTGCCATATTAATGACGTTTCGGCCGTTGTACGCTTCGTCCTTCAGGTGATTGGAATTTCGAACTGAACTCTTTATTTCGTTCACCAAGGTAGATTGTTCTAGTTTCACGTGACATGCCTCTTCTGGATGTCTCAGTATCAGTTATCTATATATATATATATATATATATATATATATATATATATATATATATATATATATATATATATATTTTTTAATCCAGTTTTATTATTATTGTTAGTTATTTTAATATATCAGTCTTTATAACCTTCAGCCTTCCTACAGTGGCTTAATTAGTAATATGAAGGACTTGCATTATTTGATAGCTTTTACAGACTATTGCTTATCACCACCGCCACCGCCAACACCACCATATCATTATCACTATCACCACCACCGCAACGACCATCACCATTACCACTCAACATCATTATCATGATCTCCACCACACCAAGATCATTATCGCAATAACCACCATCACCACTACCCTCCATTATCACCACCCCCACCACCCAACATCACCACCATCACCCCCATCCTAACATTATTATCACCATCACCGCCACTACCACCCCAACATCATTATGACCATCACCACCACCACAACCACCACCGCCACTACTACTCCCAACATCTCCACCACCACCATCACCATGGCCATCATCATCACCACGCTATTATCATTATCCCCCATCACCACCACAACAACCTTCATCATAATCGCCAGGACCACCACCGACACCATCATCAGTAATATAGCCACCGCCACCCTCATTATCACCACCCTAGCATCATTATTACTACCAAAACCACCTCTACCACCACCATAAAGACCATTACGGCCTTCGTTATCAGCATCATGTCAGAAAAAATGAGTGCTATTAAATGACGTGTCCTCAAAGAACTAAGTTATTCTATATAAGCTGTTAGAAATCGTTAAAGAGATAGGGAAAGAAGGTTTGGAAAATACAACACTCTCGGGAGAGAGTGAAGACAGGGTTAGAATAATGGCAATGACGAAAGACAATAGAAAGTTACTTCGATTAAAAAATGAGAGAGAACGTCATGGAGAGCCATATCCACCTACTTCCTCAAGTGGAAGATACCGAATAACCTCGGAAGAAGTAAGATAAAAACAACTTTCTAAAATCAAAACAGTCGGAAATAATATGCACATACGTATTTTCGTAATGTAAATGAATGCTTGGATTCCTCCAGATGGTTTGGAACAACCGCTTAAAATAACTGGCAGGAGGAAGAAACACTGCTAGCTGAAGTTAGAGCGATGCTTATTCACTAACAAGTTAGGATTTATTTAACACACACACACAACACACACACACACACACACACACACACACATACACATATATATATATATATATGTATATATAAATAAAAAGAAAGAACAGTAAGATATATAATCCGGTGTTCTTATAGATATCTTTGTTTTTACAAAATAGTGCTCAGTGTAAATTTACAGAGCATTAATATTATAAATTGATTTATTTAAAATATGGGGTTTTTTCGCTACACTGTTCTAACCATGTTTCAAAAATGGAAGCTAAAAGCTCAGAATTTAATTTTGTAATTAAATTAAAGACATTACTTCCATTTCATCCTCAAGCGAATTTTGGAGTAACTTTTAAAATTACTGGGTTTTAAAGACACAGCTAAAATCATAATTCACGTTTCCAAGAAGTAGATTTATCTGTAACGTGAATTATGATTTTAGCTGTGTCTTGGAACTATTTACGTTGTTCGGACTGTCGTCGTCATGTTTATTGCCTTATTCACGATGTCTCGATCGTTGTACGCTCCGGTTTTCTCCAGGATCTGCCTATCTTGCCGAAATGTGGTATTGTAACTATTTATAGTATTTACATTGTTCTGACTGTTGGCCTCATCTTTATTGTGATATTCACGACTTTTCAGCCGTTGTACGCCCCCGCCTTCTTCAAGATCTATATTTCAGAGATGAGGTATTGCAATTAATTACACTATTTACATTGTTCGGAGTGATGTCTTCATCTTCATTGTTGTATTCTCGGCTTTTCGACAGTGGCACGTGTTTGCCATAGTCTCTGAATATGGAATCCAGTGAAGTCCGTAATGTCTTCAATATCAGAGATTGGCAGTGAAGATTCGGAGAAAGTAGCGGCTGTTAATTCTTTAAGTTTCGATATCAGGTTGGCAGTGAAGCTATTTTGGGAGAAAAAACAAAATGGCTGCCTTTATACACGTCGGATTGAATATTTTGAGCTTTCTGATTGGTTAACCCTTCTCTTGGTGGACTATAAAATGAGTCAGGTCATTTTGGCTAGCTCACTAGTACATACATATATCCAAAAAACTGTTCTGCATCTATTTTTGTTGTGGTAACCCCCCCTACAGTAGAATGAATTTTTCCTCCTCTCATAAATACAAACTATGAGAGTCGAATGAGAAGAGAGAGGGTGCAGTGGAGTGGAGAAGTAGACGCAGTGGTAATCTTCTTATTACTAACACTATTGTTTTGTATATATCTTCAATATACTTTTTCAAACTACCTTCGTCTTCCGTGTCTTTCTTTCTAAACAGGTCACAACAATTTTTGAGATAGTATATTAACTATTTACACTATTTACATTGTTCGGACCTCATTTTCATAACCATATTCACGATGTTTCAGCCGTTGTATGCTCCGGCCTTCTTCAGTACCTGTCTATATTACAGTGCCCTGATTTTTGTTGTTATTACAGCATTCAGACATCATCCACTCAGATCTGGGTCACCTTGAAGGAATATCGAAGTGAACTCATTAATAAATCCTCGATTGTTCTCGTTTTGCGGTTCATGTCTCGGGATATCTCGTTTTGTTCGTAATAGATTCTGCTCACTTATTTCTCGTCGTGTTTTCAGTGTGTCTATGTGTTATGAGACCTTACCCATAATAACATAATGGACTATTCCATACGTAATAAATACTACGCCTCAAGAGGAAGCAGAGAGTTCAACCTGAAGTCGGCTGACCGGCTAACCGGTTGAACTCTCTGCCTTCGGGCGGGGAGGAACCCGAACGAGGCTACGCCGAAGGGCGGAGTCTCTTTCGGGGAGGTAAACC